TTCAATGCATGATTCAGGGCCTTTTAGGCTTGCTTTTTCACTAGGGCTGGCTGGTATTATCTCCTTGACAAATACTGCTGTAGATTCTCAAAATCATAGGAGTCCTTCTGCTGAGATTGGCCATCCATGTAGAAGCATTTTGATGTGACATTAAAAATCATGTGTAACCACAGTTATTTTTATACAAACAGCACATAATGTTAGGTTCCAGAACGCTCCAGTTACTTGCCCTAGACAAATGGCTTTAAGGTGAGGGGGAAGAACTTGTTAGTACTACTTCAATCCCAGGCCATTTAATTTAGCTGTCAGCTTGTAAGGTTTCTCATGTAAATTCTTTCAGATACCATACAGTGATCCTCTTGACTTCCACTGTTGTGTTGCCTATATTCTGATGTGGTTTGCTTAGAAGTTCTTGTTGCTTAAATATTTCTACACATTTGTAGCTCACTACACATGTGAAGAAAAAGAGCTTGTATGTGGTGTTTGGCTCTGTCATTTAAGTTGGCAATTTCAGGTTTGTTTGAGTCTCATATTTGTGGAAAAAGGTTTCTAAAATGCTAGTTTTGCATAACCTGTTATAATGAGATCATCTGTCTAGTCTTACTCTGTATATGTGAAATGTCCCATTTGCTTTGCTATGGCTGCAGTCTGCATATCTGTGCCTATTGTTCCCTTGATTATTTAACAGAAACGTTCCAGTAAAACTGTAGTCCCAAATTCATACAGGTTGCTTAGTATCTGCCTCACTCTCACAGTGTAGATGTGCTTACAGAATCCTGACTTAATGAAAAAGTAATAACTCTATAAGATAGAATCTGTTAAATACCAAGTCAAATTTTTGTTTCTTGTGAGAGGAGTGTTTCTTGTACTGGAGAATCGTACTTCCTGCCCCAGAACATAGAACTAACTTGTCATTGAGAATGCAAGATAATCCCCAAAACATGGGAGATCAAATATATAGGCAAACTTACCTCCAGAGAGGTGGTTTGGCAGTTTGGTTTGCATGGTTTGTGGTGTGGGTTTTTTTTTTTCTTCTTTTTTTTTTTTTTTTAATTCTTTGCCGTTAATTCTTATTGATACTGAACTATCAACAAGAACAGTTGGAATTATCTAAAAGGGAAATAGTTGGACTTCAGGAAAGAGACAGACAACTGCAAAGCAAGAACAGAAATTTGCACCAGTTACTTAAAAATGAAAAGGATGAAGTGAGTTGTCTTGTATATTAACACAAGTCTTTCCATAGATACTCAATAATATGGTTTTTTGCAAGGCATCTTGTAATTGTTCACTTTGAATGCTTTTTTTGTTGGTAAATGTTGTCTTTCACCAAGTGAAATTGGCATGTTACATATGGATAAATAGGTTCTGTAAGGGATAGGTCCAAGTTGTAACAATAGTCGAGAGTACTGCAGAAATGCACGTGTGCAGTTTTCTGAGGCTTTCTGTAATTTTGAGCATAGCTTTATCTTAGAATGTTTTACAATATTGAAAAGTAGGAGGGGGCAACAAGATTCAGTCACTTCCTCAAATGTTTGTGTGTAGGAATTTTTTTATTTTTGGTTATATTGTAGAGGAGAGCAAAAGACCAAAAAGACTTAAACTTCCTTAAACTTGGAAGTCTTGGAAGAACCAACATCAGAAAACACTTTGAAATTCAAGACATGCTGAGTTTGGGATTTGTTTCTGGTGTGTTCCTTCCCCCCACTGTACTTTACATGGCTCCTAAGTTTCTGTGAGTCTTCTCTGTGTTCATAAACATGTTCATATAGTTAGCAATCACAGTACTATCTGTATATAGTGAACATCCTAAAGTTCCAGCTTAAAATATTGAATGTGCTGTATGTTTGTAAGGTTAAAACTGATGATTAAAAAAAAAATCCAACAACCCCAGGTACTGATAGTACAGGCCAAGAATGTGCTTTATGTTTAATGTTCTTTTAGACCAAATGGAATAGTCTGTCTTCCAGCATCCTGCTGCCCAAAAGAAGAAGAGTTGGTTTTGGTTATTTTTAGTGTAAACCTAGCAAGCATATTTTAGAGTTAGAGTAAAACTTAATTATTGAAACCAAAAATATGTCTTTCTCTGCTCTGTTCAATAAAAGCATTAAAGGAGGTTATATGAATTACCAGAACATGGGTTCAGTTGTACTTCAGAGGAACTATAGTAGTATAATATGTTGCTTATGATGTTGGTTTCTGCAGAAGAGAAAGTAAATGCCCTGACATAAGTCTGAGGTCAGAATCCATGGGATGGGAGAGTTCTCCTGATTCCTTTCATCACTTCCTTTCACCAGAACTACAGTTTAACAGAAGCGTCATTTCGCTTCATGTGTTTTTGTTTTCTGAAGAAATTTATGTATTTATGCTATAGTTGAAGAAACACAGTTTTTGTGGGGTTGCTTTTAGGTACAGAAGTTACAGAACATAATTTCAAGTAGAGCTACACAGTACAATCATGATATGAAGAGGAAAGAGAGAGAATATAACAAATTAAAGGAACGCTTACATCAGTTGGTCATGAACAAAAAGGACAAAAAGATAGGTAAGTAGCTGTATGAATTTTACTACAGCAAAGTAGCATATTCTATATGTTAAAAATGCTTGAATTTGGTTCTGGTATCTTTAAAGTCAATATGACCCTCCTCTTGTAGATTTTTATTTAGATGTTAGACTGCTACATAAAAGATACAATATTTCATGTCAGCTGACTGTGTAAGGTTAATAAACTTTTATATTGTGTTCCATAAGATTTTTTTACCAAGCACAAAACAAATAGAGATCTCTACAAAGTGAGTTTTTTTTTACTAGGGAGAATTATTTGGAATAAATTCCTTAGCTAAAGCTTTGTTGCTACTGCTACCATCACAAGACTTCAGATAGCGTCATAAACACTGTATTATGCCCACCAGTTATAATCAGGAAGGAACACTGCATGAGCTTTTTTTCCCCTTGAGGTATTGCAGTCTACTTGTGTTAATGACAAGTGATGAGCAATTTTAGAGAGGAAGTAACACAAGATAGACATAGAATCTGGTGCTATGTGAAATGAGGAGACGAGAAATCTCCTTTATCATATGAGTGCTCATATGTTGTGCTGCCCAAAAATTGTGTTCAAGACATTCATCAGTGCTATTTAGCATAAGTAGTTTTTTGTAGAGTGTTGCTGAAAATAGGTATCAGTGTTATGTAAATGAAAAAAATCTGCACCTTTTGGTTCATATATCTGGCCTTAGAGTGTTTGTATCATTTATCTCCAGTGGAAGGGAAGTCCTGCTCTTCCTCTCTTATCCCTCCTGCCACCCCCAAAACACTCAGCTGCTTGCCAAGTGTGGTGCATGTTGTATTTTAGTAAGCTGGTTTAGTTCACTAAAACAAAAGAAATTGTTTGTGTTGTTGCCAAGTTGATTTTCTGCTGATTTAGTTTTCTGAAAGTGCTTGTGGGTAAGCCCAACCAGGTTAGGACACGGTAGCAGGAACACCTGTTTTGGCTGCAGAAAGTCTTTAGGTATCAGTTCAGTAACCTCTAGAAGCCTCACCCTGAGGTCAGCAAAACTTGCTTGAGGCTTATTCTTGACTCCATTTGGCTAGTACTGGTTCAAGTATCAGTGAGGTCGAAATAACACAGTTTTAAATCTAGTTACTGTTTGCTTGATAACTAACTAGAATTGAGCTTGGACCACTAATCTGTAGTGATGTGTAGGTTTGGGGTTTTTGCTGTTGGTGTGTGTTTCATTTGTGTTTAGTTTTTTGTTTCGTGGGTTTTTTTCCTTCAAACATGGACAGAGAAGTTTCTTTGTTTTGAGGAACACCTTGTGAAACATCAGGAAGTTGTGCTCTCTGAACTGGAGATAAAACTGGCATTATTGCCAGAAGAGAGGTTAGAGTTGATAAACCATTGATATAAAGGTTGAAATAGTAATGAAGATGTCATTAAGAAATGCACAAGAAAGACAAGACAGGATGAGAATACATCCCTTTGAGTTTTCAAACCAAAAATTATCTTCTTTCCTTCACTATCTTATTCTTACTCTAAGCAGGGCAATGTGGTTTCATATGGGTCTGAAGATTGAGGGGGATATTTGGGTAATGTGGTCTGTTGACAATTACTACATGTAAATGCAAATAGGTAAATGCAATGTCATCTGAATATTTATATATTTGCATGTTGTTTCACGCTTTGAAATATCCTTTTCGTTTGTAGCTATGGAAGTTCTAAATTATGTTGGTAGAGCTGATGGGAAGAGAGGTGCATGGAGGACTGATAAGACAGAAGCCAGGTAGTTGTCTTAGAACAACATTAATTGAAGCATATGTTATAGCTGTTATGTTGTTACTGTAAGATTTCTTCTTCCAGAAATGAAGAAGAAATGTACAAAGTTCTGTTAAGTGATTATGAACAACGCCAAAAACAGCTTTTAGTGGAAAATGCTGAGCTGAAAAAGGTTCTTCAGCAAATGAAGAAAGAGATTATTTCACTTCTCCCGCCACAGAAACAGAAACCTAAAGAAAGGTCTGAAGATGGGCCAGTAAGTATTCCTCAGTTCAAAAGAAATCTGCATGGTAGTTTGGTATAATGCTGGAGTAATTTGATCACTTTAAAAAAGTAAATTTCTTGTGAGACTTGCAGTGGATCGCACACCCTGTGCTGTGCTTGAAATCCATCCATGTTTAAATGTTCTACTGTCTGTGAACAATACCCAGTGTATCTTCCCTGTCAGTCAGTGGAAAGCTTGAAAGAATACTTTGCATGAATTTTAAATGTAGGAGCTACCTGTATGTAATTCTATATAACGATGCATTTTGTATTTTCTCTGCCTTCCATACTAAGATGTTGACGCGAGCTTTCAAGGTGCTTATGCAAAGAAACTAGGCTTCCCATAGAATCCATAGGGGTGGAGGAAATGTAATTAGGGTGTGCTCCTATAGTACATGGATTAGAGTAGCTGTTAGTTCCTCTTAGAGCTGCTGGTACGTTCAAGGAAAATGTTTGATTTCCAAGTAAAATGGTTTGTGGGGTTTTTTGTTTGTCTTAAGTATTTCTTTGTTTACACAGGATACTTTATTTTTATGGAACAGCACACTGCACATTCGTTTTTTATCAGAGAGTTTGTTTATTCCTTTTGCTGATTCCTTGGTAGAAGTTGCAGTTCTGTTTTGATGTCAGAGTGAAGTAGGGAATAATCTAGAAGGTTAACTGAGCGACTATCCCGGGGTATAAGAGTTGAAATACACAAAATGTGTATAAAGGCTAGATTCTAGGAATCATTCAAGATTGATGGTGTACTAGGAGTAGGATATTAAGAGAATATGGATACTCTACAGAACAAAGTATGAAGCATTTCCTTTTACAGTAGATAGTACATGTTGGTACATAAGGATGTGTAGATGGAACCTTCCGGAGCGTGCTGTTTCTGTAGAATCTAGTGCTTGCCATTTCAGAAGGTCCCCTGTCCTGCTCAAGTTGCTGTACTACTTCCTTTATTTCTGAGCTATCTCAGGTGCATTTGTCTAGCCCCAGAATGCGCTGTGTAGAAAAACATAAGACTCTCTCTGGCCACTTCTTTGTAAGACATGAATAAACTCTTTTTACCTTCACCAGATGCCTTGCCCCCTATACCACACAGAATGACTCCTATGTGTATTTAGTGAAGTAGTCAGTAATGTGCAGTGTGTTAACCTTTACCTCAGAAGTTCTTCATGTAGGAAATCAGTAGATCTAATTATTACTATAGCTCAACAACAAGAAGGTGATCTTCAGTATTGCGTGTTGGGTATAAATTCTAGTATATAGCATAATCAGGTACTAGTTCTGTAAATGGGCCTTCTGCTTTTAGGATTCCAGTGAGGCCAGGAGTGTTTGGCACAAACTTGAGTACACTGGTGAAAATCCAGCTGTGGGAATGGGGTCTTTATGAACTTGGGCATTAAAACAAACTTGAGGGAAAAACTGGGACTTATTGCTCTGAAATTCACTGTCCTTGGGTGATTAGACAAGTATTTGTAAACTGTTGTAGTATTAATAGACTCCTAAGAAAATATTAAAAGCCTGCACTGAAACTTCTGATTAGTTCTCTTGTAGTAGTACTAATTAGCCAAATTAAGTGGAACAACTACTTAGCAGGCAATAGTAATTTCTAATAGTAGAATAATAATAGAAGTACTTACTAGATGCAAGTCTCAAGTGAAGTTATTTCAGCAGGGTTGTAGGGTGGTGTGGGGTTTTTGGTTTGTTGGTTTTTTTGGGGTGGTGGGGTTTTGTTTTTTTTTTTTTTTTTGGTTGTTTTGGTTTGGGTTTTCTTCCATTCAGTCTATTTTATGCCTTCTCTAATTTCATGCCACTCTAGAATTGGGGATGGCTTTTGTCAAGATAGGGCCACTGCTTAGTTTTTTTACATTTGTCAAATTAATATAAACAAGAAGAATGTTGCCGAAAACTGTGGTTTTGCAGAAATCAATTATGTATTTAAGACTTAGTCTGCCCCACAATGTGTATTTTACATGGATTAGTTTTTTGTTCAGAAGTACTGGTTTGCTTTGTGAACGTCTGAAAATAAATTTCTACTTAAAACATTGCATCTGATAGTTTGTGCTTGTTTGTGGCTCTTTTAACATTTTGGTATGAAATCTGAACTATTATTGAATACCTTGCAGAATGAAAAAAAAAAAAAAACCAGCCATTGCATTTCTACTTAGAAATGCTAATTGGTATTGCTTCTTAGAAGGAAACACACTTTGGAGTGTGGCAGCTAATGATGTAGTCACTTCATTTATCATTTTGCTTCCTATCACAAAGTAACAGCCATAAAACCAGCCAGACTGTCATATTATCACAGTACTATCCAGAGGCCTACTCCAGAGTGGGTTTTCATTGTGCTAGCATATGTAAATATAAGTAAAGGAATAAGATGTTTCTTTATGAAGTGACATAAAACTCTTCAACCAACCAACCAAATGAAAACCCCCAAAACCAACCAACCAACCAAAAAAAAAAACCAAACCAAAAACCTGCGCCTTTTTCTTTTTTATAGCTGTTGTTTTGCTCCTGAAGATCTCCTGTGATCCAGGTTTGAAAGAAAGTGCTTACCGCATATGTAAATGAATTACCTTGATGCCTCTGAACTTCCTGGGTTTTGTACTTCTCATCCCATTTTTCTTATCTGCTTAGTAGATAAAGGGGATTGTGTACAATGGTTTAGACGCTTGAGAAGAGTGGTGTATGCCAGGTATTCAAATGGCAATAGCTTTTCAATTTAAATCTGTTCGTGCTGCATAGTGAGTTTATGGGCAGCTACCGCTTAAGTTTGACAGCAGAACTCCGCAGTCTGAACTTCTCTGGCTTGAAGATACGTGAGAGTGAGTGAGTCTTGCTAGCTGAGGTGGGGTTCTGGGGACTGTCAGGTCACTTCTGTCTCTTCAGCATTATGCTGTCAGGGAACTGAACTCCCTGACAGTCAAGTTTCTCTGGATGGAAAAATCTTTCCTGTATATAAGCATTTTCCTTCTCTTCAGTAAATTAAATCCATACACATATTTAAATGAACATAATACATGTATTTGGAGTGATAGAGTGGTTTGCAGCTTTTTGTTTCTGCTTGTATAGGTGCTGTCAGACCTGGAGGAAGATATTGGAGAGTTAAATAAAGAGAACATGTGGGAACTGTCTTGTGAAACTGTGCGAGAGCAGCTTACCAACAGCATTAGAAAACAATGGAGAATGTTGAAAAATCATGTTGAAAAGCTGGATAACCAAGGTAAGGTTTAACTGTATTACATGTATATATAAAATGCTACTGGAAAGTCCATTTGGTATCACGCTCTTAGGATTTACTTTACTGACTGTCTAGGCTAAAAGGAAGCTAAAATGGAAGGCATTGTGACCTGGTAGACTTTCTGAAAGGGCTTGTGATTGGCATTTTTCTGTGTGAGTTTTAATAGTAGGTGGTTAAGGAAGCAATTGCATACCAAGCCTGTTATCATGAGAAAGGAGACGGATTATAGTTTGACACAGTAAACAGCAACTTTCTGGAAAAATAATTATTTTCCCTTTGGAAAGTACATGCCCTGTAGTAATGTATGTTTGCCTTTCCCCACCTTTTTGGGATGTTCAAGTAATGCAGATGTAACAATTTGAAGTAACTGGATGCAAAATATGTAAGTCCTGTCACGTCCATACCTCTGAGGCTTCTTGTGGCATTCTAAAGCGAACTGGCTGATGGTATGGTGCCAGACTCTCCTCATTTCCAGCTGTTAAACAGCATTAAAAGATGGCTAAAAATATATAAAATTCTTTCCTAGTATTATTTTCCCATGCAAGCAAATGCTGTTGCTACCACAGGGATGTTTGCAGTCAAGAATAAGACCGAGAAGGTCACGCATGCAATTGCAAATAAAAGAGCAGATGGTCTAGGAGAATATGTTTATACCATAGAAAGGATTTTAACAACGCTTGTTCTGAGAAATACTTGATTTGGTGTAACTAACTGAAAAAATAGTTGTAAGCATCAGAAAAAACATTTCAAGTATTTGCTGTTTTCTTGGAGTCACCTTTTTGGTTTTTGGATTTATAGAGATGACCATAGTTTAGTCCTTTAGGATTCAATTAATGTTCAAACACTGGCATCAGGGCCAAAACTTGGCTCATTACAATCACTTTGATAGCTATGCATGAAATTAAATAAAGCAGTATGTAATTATACAAAATGCATTTTATTCCTCTCCAGTTCATTCCCTCGCTGGGAAGAAAATATGCACACAGTGTTTGTTAGCTCCATTTCTCCTTCACAGGACTTGAAGGAAAAGGCTTTCTTTTTATATCTGTGATAAATATAGTTACTGTCATATTTTTATGAACACACAAGCCCTTCAAAAATGGGCTCAGAAGAATAGGCTAACAGCATGTCATTGAAAAGAAGTCTTCAGTTGTCTTGATTTTTCTTTTAAATAACTGCTGAAGCAAGTCAGGTTTTTGTGTGACACTTTTATTGCAGTGCAGACACTTGGTTTACCTTGGGAAATGTGAAACAGCTATGTTCTCATTGCCACTTTTTCTGAACTGGATTTTGTGCATAATTACATGTGTAGCACCAATTGGATCTCTTGTCTCTGATAGAAGTGCTGATAGAAGTGCTTTTGAATATACTGTGTATCTGTCTTTCAGGATAAAATAAATACAGTCTAAAAAAAACCCTTTTGCTATTGCTATGAGTCCCCAGTGAGGGATTTTTTGTTTTGTTTTGTTTTTAAGTATCTTTCCCCCCCCCCTTAGTGTCACGTGTACATTCAGGAGCTTTGAATGAAAAAGATGTAATTTCAAGAGAAGACCATGAGATGGAAACTGAAAAGCTAGAGTTAGAGATTCAGCAATGTAAAGAAATGATCAAAACTCAGCAACAGCTCTTACAGGTAGTAGGCTTTAATTTTTTCTTATTTTTTCTCAACTGAATCTAAGCTTCACCCACCCTCCACCCCCAAATGTGCCACTTTTCTCACCTCTGAGCCTTTCTCCATTCTTTGATTATGCTTTTTAACTAAAATATCTTAATGGTTAGTCTGAGTATAGGTGTGCTAGTGGGTTGGTTAGTAATTTAATGACCTTGTAATCCTGGTAGGGATAATTTGGCAGGATAAACAAAGGTGAGGAAGGCTGATGTGGTCAGCTGCCTGAATGGGGATGTTTTGCTTGCCATCTGAAACTCTGCACCCACCAGCAACCAACTTGATATTTACTACATTGTTTCTATATTAAACCATTTTTCTGATAAAACCGAACCTGTGGAAATACTGCATCTCTTAACAGTTGCTCCCAAATTAATGTTTGTGTCTTTTGTTGCTTTATATCTGCAGCAGCAGCTTATGTCTCCGTGTGACGATGACACCACTCTGTTACTACAGGACTGCTATTTGTTGGAAGAAAGAGAGCGTCTTCAGGAAGAATGGAGACTATTTCGAGAACAAAAAAAGAATTTTGAGAAGGAACGGAGAAGTTTTACAGAAGCTGCTATTAGATTAGGACTTGAGGTATTAGAAAAGTGGAAAGGTATTAGAAAAGGGAACTCCTATGGAAGATGAGTTACAATTGTTAAATAGTTTTACTGTTACACACACTAAAGTGCAGCCATTGAACAATATCTGTTTGCTAACTTCTATAGAGAAAGATCATTCCCGTACTGTATAAAACATATGTTTTGTCGTTGTAGGAGATCATTCTGTTGGCATTTCAAAAAGACAAGTTTTTTTGTGTGTATTGGAAAATACAGTTGCTGCAACCGGAATGACCCATTTTTGTTTCAGATTTTGAAGTATCTAAATACTTCCAAAATTCAGTCCACTTATTAGACGCTGCTTAAGTTTGGTTTCCTATGAAAGCAAGCCTATGCAAATTTCAGTCAGATTTGGCTGTAGGGTTGAATTCTCAAAGGTACTCCATTCCTAATCTCTTGTGAAAACCAGTGACTATTGCAGAAATGCAAAGTAGTTGCTGCCTTTCCTTTAGTAGGATCATTATCGGTTCTGTTCTTGTAGGTAAGCTGGCCAGTAAGCACATATACTAGAAGGCAGTCAAGGTAGATGTGTCTCCAAATGAGCTCTAGCATGTGTGTCCGTTGGTCTAGCCAATAGTTAGGGCCAAGAACATGAAGGGGCTTACAAGTTTAGCAGGGAAAGGAGGTCATGATGATGTGGTCATGAAACTGTGATGGTACAGATACGACAGGAAAAAAGCCATTGAAGGAAAAAAGAAATGGGCTTTAGATTTATTGCTTACAGAACTGCTTGCTTTGACATGCAGAGGAGAAAGCTGGAGTAAGGTGTGATTAAAACTTATAAAACTGTGGGTTCAGTTGGTCAGATGAAAGCAGTACTGTTGTTCACCAAATCTCTCAAGATTAGGACTAGAGGGAACTTATAGAAATGACTTAATTTCAAGGCTAAAACATATCCAGGAAAGGTACGTTTTTATATATCAAGTAGTTGGCTTGTGGATTTTGCTGCCATGGGAGATTGTGAAGGCAATCAATACCAGCAGGTTCAAAAAGCAGTTGCCTGAGCTCATGAACAACACATTCACAGATGGATGCTAAAAGTGGGGACAAGAGGGTGCCTTCCAACATCTCTAATCAAATGACTTTTGGGGCTCAGAACCTCTGAGGGAATGCACTGCAGAAAGTGGCCAGGTTCATGTGATGTCATAAATAGCATCTTTTGTGGCCATTGTTGGGGACAGAATACTGAGCTAGACGGGCAAGTTGTCTGACTCAAAACAGCTTTTTTTTAATTCTTGTGCTGTAAAATTTATTGTAAAGAACATAAAACACTTTAGATTTTGAGATACTGGCACAACAGTAATTCACATGTGACAAATACTGACTCAGACCACTACATATAGATATGTATTCTTCAACCTTTTCATTTAATTTTAGAATCACAGAACCATAGAATCGTTTAGGTTGGAAAAGACCTTTAAGATCATCCAGTCCATTTTATTCACATTTAGTGAGTTTGTGAATTTCATGTTGGACCTCGAATTCAGCTTTAAATTCTTGAGTAATGATAAAATTGTTTGTCCAGAAATGTTTAGGACTACATTGCAGCATAAGTGTAACTGCCCATGCTTCTGCTTGTTAAAATGCTGAAGTATGAAAAGAGAAGCAATGCTCTAAGCTTTGTAGGTGAAAGCTTGCAGTGGAGTTCAGCTTGCTCTATTTTTCTACTGACATGGTAGAAATAATTTTATATAATGAGGACGTCCTGTTTCACTGATCAGTTTTGGAGATGAAATAGCTTGTTGCTTGATTCCAGAGCCATTGGATCTTTTGGAGGTTGTCTTTTAGCCATTATTTTCCTTTTCTGTGCTCTGAGTGATTGGAAAATGAAACAACCCCTTTCTTTCTGCCCTGGTTTTGGACAGAAGTAATTAGTGTTATTTTCAATGTCATTTTTATCTGTTTAGGAGAAGGCTCAGGGTTGGGGTTTAAGCAGTAATCCTTACTGGAAGCTGCCCAGAAAGAAGGCCTACCTCCAAGGGGTAGCGCTACACTGAGGGGCAAAGGGAGCATAGGAGGCAGTGACAGGAGATTGTGTCACTGGAGTGGAGAACAATAAAATGCAAGGATTAGTCAGCCCTCTGTGAAACAAACTATGGGGTTCGCTTGTAAATGAATACCTCCTCAGCTAATCCTTGTTGGATTCAAAAGCTTGCTCTCATGACACTAATTCTGTGTTGAACTGCTGGCTCTCCTTAATTACATGGACATACTACAACTTCTGCTTTCTTAGATAGAATAGCATCAATTTAACGTGGACTAAGCTTGTTCCTGTGGTCATAAGTGTAAACCATCATTTCTTTTCCTAGAGAAAGGCATTTGAAGAAGATAGAGGGGCATGGCTGAAGCAACAGTTCTTAAGTATGTCTACTGATTACAAGCACTCTGAAAATGCGACAACTCCAAGTGCCTTCTTAGGAAGCAAGTATTTGGTTCAAATTACGTTCCTGTAATGTGTTTCTTTTTCCCTCTTTCAACTAGAAGATGCAAATATGAACAAAACTGTTAAAAACTCAAAACTTGCCAAGAGAAATTTTACTGTGTATCTATATGCCTCTACCTATCAGGGTAACTGATGGTTCAAAATCTCCTTTTAGAAAGGGAATTATGATAACTCCCTCCCTGATAATTACTTATGTAATGAATTTGTATTTGTGAAGTGATCTGGTGAATGTCAAGTACCTGACAGCTGTGCTGTCAAGAATGGGGAACTTTTAGAACTACTAAATTAAATTAAATGTGAGCATATTAATTGCCAAGGCAGTTGAAGAAATCATAACCTATAGACATCTGTATAGATTAGAAACAACTTTTGGAAACAAGAGCATCATCATGTGGAGACGGCAGCATTAATTATTTGAGATGAGGTAATAGTAAACATGCGTACACATACATATTCAGTAAAAAAAGAATCCTTTGGAAAAAGAAATAGTGAAAAGAGCATAATGATAATGAAAATAAATTTGAGCAATAAACAATTAAAATTTAAGATTCAAATCTTCATAAAAGAATAATTTCTTCAGAAAAGATAATGAACATATGGCTTTATGACATAGTCTGGAATATTGTTTTTACTGAAAGTATTTTTTACTTCCTTTCTTCTACATTTTTTTTTCTTTCAAGTTGGTAAGTTTATTTTCTATCCACTCATGCCTGAATATGCATGTGCAGTGTTTGGGTCTTCACCACTGACTCTTCAATAATTTGTAAGGGGTGGGGTGAGACCAAAAAAAGGGATGGGGGAGGAAAAAGTAACAACAATCTCTGTTAAATAGATTCTTGTTGTGGCAGCCAACATTTATCTTTAAATGTGTGAAATGCCTGGCAAGCAAAGGTAGCTTGAATTTGTACTCTTGTTAGATAAAGTAGCCTGCTTCTCGTGTTCTGGGTTCTCCTTGTTTCTCTGCTGTGCAATTCCTGTAGCGCTTCTGTAAGTGTGGAATGAAATGATCTTCCACAGTAGGAAAACTTTTATTTTTAAGAACAGAATTGAGATTTTTTGGCTGTTGCTTATGAAGAATGTGATTTAGTGATCTGTGAGCAACTTGATATCTCTCTAACATTCATTGTACACTAAAGCTTTTGATTTGTAATTGCCTGTTTCCAAATTCTAGTGTTTCTGGATATATTTAACGCCATATTGTAATTTCTGAATGGCATTCTTCAATCTTATGTATCCTGACCTTAAGCTACTGGATAATAGTAATACAAACAAAAATATGTCTGCCACACAGAGAATCATACTCCATTTGGACATCACTCCACAAGTTATCATTAGACTTGTTTAATGTTAAATTTTCCTTTTTTCACAACACTTGTCCAAAAGCCCTTAATTCTGTAGTGCTATGGTGAATACTGTAGAATACAGAATCATTCTATTTTTTTACTGCTTCATATGAAAGCTTTGAAGTCTAAATGTTAGGAAGAGTTAGCAGGGATCTGCCCTTGCCAAGTTTGGCTGTGTTTTTCCATTGACTTCAGTGATGGTTAAGTTCATATAAATGCTAAGGCATCTAACTGCTTTTAAATTTCTTCTATACTCTGGCAAGTTTGCAAGTTTTCATGTTGGTGTTAATAACTGTGTGTGCATGCTGGAGAAGTTTTTACTTAAGGAGCAAAAAGGCTTTATCAATTGTAAAGTGAGAAACTTTATGTTTGAGTCACTTTAGTCATGTTGAAGTCAAGTTTACTTGCAGCAGTCGTTGTGTATGTAAATGCTTCACTTTTTAAATTGGGATTCTAAATTTGACATAACTTCATTCAGTAGTATTATGTGTACTTATAAAAATTTATCACAGATATATAATAGTAAGATTTATTATTATAGACATGCTGTAAGATGTTTGGTGTGTTTTGGTTTTTTTTTTTTTTTTTTTTAAAGCAGAAGACATAAAGAAGCAAGTCCTTCAAATGTTTTCGGTTGCACTGTAGTTTGACTGATGATAATGTGTATCTCTTAGGTTCCGACCAAGACAATCAGTCAGTGAAATCTACATCTCAGCAAAGAAAATCTCACTGTATGTTGAGTGGTCCTGTTTCAGCAGAACCTTGCCAAGCATCTCAGTATATTACACGTAACAGGTATCTAAAATGATGTTGCAGATAGTGCTAAGCTCTACGTAGAACATGGAGACTAAGTTGTGATAACTTACAGAAAGCCTAATCTAAGGCTTCTGATTGACATATAGCAAAACATATTAAACATCATATTGTAAAAACAGTATTGTGTTTCTGTCCAAAGCATAATTTATTTGCATTGTAACATTCTCTTTTTCCCAGTTCCAGTGCTGCATCAAAAAAACCTGCTGGAGATAGCAAGCCAAATCAGTGGGTGGAAAGTGACGAAGAAGAAACAGAGTAATGCACAAAGTCACGGGAAGATGCTGGAGTTGGCGCTCTGCTATGTAGAAACTTGCACATAGAACAACTGCCTTAGACTGCCTAGGGTTGTCTGCTGGGCTTTTTTAGAGATTTGTTCATAAACTTACTATTCTAAAGTGAAACAGAATGCTGTGAGTTTGATCGTTCCTCTAGAGGATTATGTGGTGATCTGGATTGTGGCGTGTGTGTGTATGTGCGTGCCCATGGCTTTTATTTTTTTAGACCATTTTTTGCCTCTCTTTCTTGCAACTCTTGAAAGAAGATAATTTAAAAATATATAAAAGCTTTGATATTTTTCTAGTAACAGAAGCTCTGATTCTGTGAATGAAGCAATGGTCTGAAACTTTGACTGTAACGAAATACTGGATCCTAATGTTACCTTTCATTGCAGGCAGAGACAGCACTTTTAGAAATTGTTTAATTATTGGAAACATTCATTTATGTCTCAAGTGTAACTGGCATTAAAACTTCTTTTGCCTCAACTTGAATGTACAGTATACTGTAGATTTTTAACAAAACAGGTTCTATATTTATTAAGTTGTGTGATTTGAAAATACCTCTTTGATATTTCAGATGACTTAAAGTGCAAAATCTTTATATATTTGTAAATAGACAAAGTGATTATGCTGAGAAACCATGAAATGAAACACATGCATACATAGTATTATTTTACATGGCATTTTAAATTGTTTTATAGCGATACTCGGTTTACAGATGCATTAGGACTTTCAGTGGTTCAGTTGGGAACCAAATTATTTCAAATGTGAACAATAAATGTGTAATTCTATTCTAAGAAACCCTGGTTCTGTGTTTTGTGTGCACTAAACTTTTAAGCTGTCATGGTTGTAGGACTGTATGCTATGTCAACAAATCTGATGCTGGTTTTGTATTTTGTTAGTTTTTCCTTTTAATTGACTCCAGAATCTTTTTTGGTGTAGCCTTTGGGAAATCTGTTTTGCTTATAATGTAATACAAATAGCCAAATGGAGGTAAGATGTTTCAAAGTCCCCTTCACCCAACTCAAAGCATGCACTTTTCCTTGCCCGTTACAAATCCATCTCGTTTCTTGTTGGGTTTCATGCACTTGTGAACAGTGTATAGCTCTGATCCGAGTGTAACAGACCTTTTGGAAGATGTCCAAGAAACTTCTGCCTTTTTCAGGGTCATGGGAAGGAAATTAACTCTGAAGCTCAGAATCCTTCACTGAAAATTTGCCAAGAGAGGTGGTGGAGTCCCCATCCCTGGAAGTGTTCAAAAAATGCGTAGATGTGGCACTTCGGGACATGGTTTTAGTCTAGTCTACCCTTGATTGGTTTAGTGTGGACTTGGTAGTGTAGGTTAATGGTTGGACTGGATGATCTTAAAGGTCTTTTCCAACCTAAACGATTCTATGGTTCTGTGAAAATGCATTGCTGCTCTGGCTGTTATCTTTAGAATTGGATGTAATGGAGTGACTGGATGACCTGGAGAAATAGCAATAGAATAACAAAGGAAAGAGAAGAAACTGGAGTTCTCCAAGAAGCTAAGACGGAAAACTGCAGTTTCTGCTGATTAGCTCAGTACATTGAGTTACAGCTTGAGATAAAGTAGTAGCTAGTGCAAACTGCAGAGGATACGTGTAGTATGGTTCTCGCATGGCACCCTTAAGGAAGCAGAAGTGTATATACTGATGTTCTCGGTCCGCTTTCTGCTATATAGGTAGTCAGGTTGGAAAGACAATACAAATAATGTCATATTTCTTTTTTTATTTATTTCTCTGGTTCTCCCTCAGTAAATGGGTGATCATTGTCATGTCATCTGCCAGAAGGGTTTAGCAGTGTATAGTGCCTGTTGGGCTTACACCTTCTCCACGATGTGTTGGACAGCTCTTGCCTGAGTTTTAGTTATGGAAGAATAAATATACATATTCCAAAAACATATTTAAAGATGTAAAGTGAAGAATTTAATATATTGGCAATTAAGTGGGAGAACAGTACTTTACGTGTAGGATTCTTCTTTCCAAGCCGAGAGGTTATTCCAGGCCTGGAAGCCCGTACCTGAGGCAGTGTCGGGTGCCGCTAGGGGCTGCTGCTGTTCCCGAGTAATTCAGGTGTGCTCGCTGCTGCTTTACGGGGACACTTACACGCGTTCAGTTTAGTTGGACTTCTTTACTAGGCAGTTTTATTTCACGACAGTAATTTTTAGGATAATAATGCCTTTGAAGAACAAAATAATTTACCTATTTAATCCTTTGTGCCTAATGAACGATTAGCAATTAAACATTTTGTACTCATTTTTTGCTTTAACGTTCTGTAACCCGTCTTACAGAAGTGGAAATGCATCTGAATGCCTCCATGGAAGAACCAACTGTGCGAGAAGTGCGTGTGCAGCTGAGTCCTGAGCTGACCTCTTAAACCTGGTCTGGAAGCCTGGGGTATAAATTCAGTCCTGTCCCTGTAAAGAAAGCAAGCACGCCCAGAGTTTTTGGATTGCTCTGTATGCTGTGCTCGGGAAGCTTTTAAATCTGGAGCTGCTGCTAATAATGGTATGCATACTGCAGATGGTCTGCTTGGTAGCACGGGGACATTGTAGTATTTCACTGTGGTGGAAACAACCAGCATCTTTCTTACTCGGAGGCTGCTCGCAGGAATGTAATACAGGTGTGTCACTACACGCAGGTGCATACTTGAGGTAATAGAGCAAGTGGCCTGCTTAAGAAGGAACAAGAAGTACTGATTGCCAGTGACTGAGTAGCATACAGTCATTGTGAGCTACCCATGCATGATACTGAAAAGATGAGTGGTTCTCTTAAAACTGTGGTGTTTTATTTCACAAAACCTTTAAATATAATATTCATTGCTGCTTTTTCAGTCTACATGGTGAGAGACTCCTTTTACCATGAATATCAGCCTGACTAGGATGAGAACTTACTTTGCAGGATTAGAACACAGCTATTAATTTTTTCCCCTTTCATCCCCAGTGGCTGAGGATGACAGAATATAGCTTTTGCAAAGCAGACTGTATAGCAAAAAAATTAATAAATAAAAACCGTACTTCAGAAAACTTTCTCCCTACAAAGCAGCCCTCTTCCTAATGTGGAGAACTGCTTCCACCAGCTTCTGCAGGCTTGCGCCATTTCAATTGCAGCAGGGCAAAAATATTCCCATGTGTATGAAAAAAACCCCAGACCATATCCTAGCTTTTTATCAGGGATTATTCTATGTACGATTCAACTGGGCCAAGGTAACTAATAAATCCCCAAGATAATATCAATTTAAACAGGTTATTCTTGAAAGGAAAATAGAAGTATTTACAGGGTAAGGGCAATGCTGTGCATGTTGAATTAGCTTAGCTACTACTTGTGCTGCTTTTTTTTCTGCTTTTTTTTTTTAGTTTGCAGTTACCACAAAGCCTTTGTGTGTGAAGACATGTAAGACATCTTGCTTTTACTTTCTTTCCTTCCACCCCACATCTAATTTGTGAGAGAAGCAGATGACAAGATATGAAAGGTTGATATAGTTGGATCCAAAAACTGATCCCAAAAGAAATGTTCAAATTGTCTGATGATTTATTTATTGCTTTCAGACAATACATCTGACCTGTAATGTTCAGTATGCCTAGCAAAGTTGCACAGTAATTTAAAAAATAATAATTAAAAAAAAATCCCGTGGTATACATTGTGTTGTAGTTTTCACATTGACACTATTCATGCTCCTTTATTCAAGTTTTGAGGTGTACAAGACATACAACTAACTGGAATGCATAACAGGTAAGTTTATTTTAAAGAAATGTTCAATGATAAAAAATTAATTACAATTGTATGAAAGAGCTTGCCAACATCGTAGTGAAAAGTTTGTCACCTGATGCACAAAACACGCTTGTTCCCTTGAACATAATAATAGATTGATAATCATGAAAACATTTCTTGCTAATGTGTGTCGTCTCCCCCTCCCCGATGTAGTCGTCTGAAGTGAGCTGGATGGCAGTTCCCAAAACAGAGGTTGCACATCCTGAGGTGGAACTACAGCCCAGACGAAATCTGTTTTGAAAAAGTCAAGACCTGTGGGACTGGCAGCCCAGGAAGAGCAGTTGCTAGTGGGAGACTGTAGAAACTGCTGGAATAGAAAATAAACGTTCATTTGTGGTCGTTAAAATAGCGTTTGCCACAAATCACACTCCTGTGGTTGATCTTGTAAGTGTTGTGGGAACAGAAATAAAGTGCCTGAACAACCAGTGTGTCGTGGATGCTGAATTAGAATCAGATTCACATTTTTTGTGTGACTTAAAGCCTACAGTTTATTGCATTGCCTGAAGTTACCCCTCCAGAAATACCCTCCGACTCGGAAGACCCTGTGCATTTTTCTTGCCTTTTTTTTTTGTTGATCCAGCTGCCACCCAGCTCACTTTGGAAGACTGTGTGACTTTCTGGTGGGCTTGACCAGAACTCATTCCTCCCTTTTTGTGATTATCAATCTATTACCACGCTCAAAAAGGGCAAGCGCGTTTTGTGCATCTCCACTTGCCCCCATGGCCCCGACATTTCTAGAACAGGCCACTTGTGTGAATGTGTTCCTGGGCTGTCAATGTAAACAGGTGATCGTAGAATCATAGAATTGTTTAGGTTGGAAAAGGATGAAGCTGGCTGCAAGCCTACATCGGTTCAGGTACTTGGCTGCGTTTTGTATTTGGCTCGTTAGGAAATGCAAAAGTTCTAGCTGACCTGCACCCCTGTTCCCCCTGCTTTGCTGCTAGGAGTCTCTGCGGGTTTTAATTGTTCACATTTAGCTGTCATTTACCTTGGAAGATAAAATATTTACAGATTGCTTATGAAATCTTTGTTCATTTAAAAAAATATTCCTGGTCAGTGTGACCGGAGCTGAAAGGACACACTGAGCCTCTGAGTTATTTAAATAAATATACATATTCCATATATATGGGTTTTCAGTAGGATGTTAAATGTGCTTTGGTGCACATATGAATATAAGAATAGCAAGCGTTTAGCTGTCCTCGTCTCCTGTCTGCAGGGGTGGCCATAAACCAATGCCGAGGGGAGAGAAAGAGCACC